TCGGTAAATTTCAACCCATAAAAAGTATAGTCTCTTTGCAAAAGTTCTCGTTAATGAGAAATTATATGCACTTGCATATAATTACAGCGGTTTGGCTCTTCGATCGGATCGTTCCATAGTGCGTTTGAATCCACGCGTTCATGACAATGAAGATCGTGGGGAGTACGAAAGACTGGAAAAGCTGAACATCGATCCTGGGGTAACATATTAAACCTATCGAAACTTAAACTTTTTGTAGTTCCATAAGGAATTCTTGTGCAGACGGTTTTTCGACCCACCCGTGCATTGGGCGACTACTTCCGGCGAGACCTCTTTGAAGAAGTGGAGGAGTTCAAAAATGCCAAGGGTAGTCCTGTAATTTCCGATCCCGATGTCTATGATCACGAGGTTGGTCAAACTCAGTGCTGATTCGTATTTCATTTGCTTATTATTTAGATAGACGAGTCTTGGAAATATCTTATACTGCTGTCAGACGGTGTGCTACAGAATCTCAAGGACTGCGGCGTAGAAGACTTCACAGCGTATGTGTCACATATTTGGAGTACTCATAATTTGAACTTCATTTTCCAGTGAGGTGGGAGAGAGGCTAAAGATGCAAACCAATGTTCGAAGTACAGCACAAGCTCTTGTGGACGAATTCAGTAGGAAGCATTACTCAGCTTATTGCCGAGTGCGTCCTGTTTATGTTCATATATCTAATGTGATTTGGCTATTTGTATACTCGAAATCATAGCATTGATCTCTTCCCCATATACTGTATGTTCCAGAGCGGTGACCAAGGAAGCAACCGTTGTGAAGAAATGACTGTCATTTTCGTGCAGTTATGGGATACGAACAAGCTTGTTGACATGTCTTCTGGATCCTTCACCGACTCTTTGGATGCGACAAACTCGTTATTGACGGGGCCTCTTGCTCCCTATGTAGATATAACGGATATAAGTCCTGAGATTCGAGCAGAACTTGAGCGTTTATGTCCTGAGATTCCACCGAAACCTGAGCCTTTATCGAGTTCTTGAGTGTCATTCCAGTAGTTGACTTGTAAAGACTCTATTTTCAATTGTCTCAGATCCTGTCAATTTGCTCTAGTCGTACCTCTTATTAGTACAAGATATCCTACCTGGTGGTTT